GCAAGTCACAAAAGGACTCCTGCTCCTACTCATCTAAAGCTTTCCAAAGATTCAAGTGGGGTTAAGGTGGATCAAAGTCTGTACAGAAGCATGATAGGAAGCTTGTTGTACTTAACTGCCAGCAGACCTGATATTGCCTTTGCAGTTGGAGTTTGTGCAAGATACCAAGCTGATCCCAAAGTCAGTCATATCAATCAAGTGAAGAGAATTTTGAAGTATGTGAGTGGAACTTACAACTATGGGTTGATGTATTCTCATGGCTGTGAACCAGCTCTGACTGGCTACTGTGATGCTGATTGGGCTGGTAGTGCTGATGATAGAAAAAGCACCTCTGGAGGATGTTTCTTCTTGGGAAATAATCTGGTTTCCTGGTTCAGCAAGAAACAGAATTGTGTGTCTCTTTCTACTGCTGAAGCTGAATACATTGCAGCTGGTAGTAGCTGCTCTCAAATGATCTGGATGAAACAGATGCTTACTGAGTATAATGTCACACAAGATGTTATGACATTGTACTGTGACAATCTGAGTACAATCAACATTTCCAAGAATCCCATTCAGCATAGTAGGACCAAACATATTGACATACGACATCACTTTATCAGAGACCTTGTAGAAGAGAAGACAATCAAATTGGAACATGTTGCCACTGAGCTACAGCTGGCTGACATTTTTACCAAGGCTCTTGATGTAAATCAATTTGAAAACTTGAGGGGTAAGTTGGGTATTTGCCAACATGAGGAATTGTAGCAATTAATTTTGCTTAAAACAAGGATTAAAGGAGTTATGCTTGTTCTGATTGGGTTAAAATTATATTTTCCCATTTCCTTCAATTCTTTTAAGAAGTTGAATAGACACTCCTTTTCTTCCTTCCCCTCTCGTCTCCTCATCAAAACCCAGTCTCTCAATCAGAATTTTCTCTTCAGTTGCTGTTGGTCCTCTAAGACTGTCAAAATGTCTCAAACACCATCATCATCCAATACGACTATTTCAACCTCTTCCTCTGATCAAGATTCTAGGACAATCTCTTCTTGTCTGGACTCTGAAGTCTTGGAGATCTCTTCTCGTAGAAAAGTGGGAACTAACCCCACCAAGGTCAAAGAGATGAGAACAAGACATGCAGGAAAGTCCCAAGCTTCTGCCTCTGGTAATCCATCTCATCCTTCTTCTTCAGTTCCCTCTGAAATTGCAAATAGGGAAGGGTCAGCCTATGTTAGTCAAGCAATAGCTAAAATTGTTTCAAGAATTCTGAACGAGAACCACTCAGTTCCTGGCATTTCTGTTCCTTTGAATCAAGAAAGATCAAATGCTGAAACAAATCCATATGTCTCTAAGGATATTGAGACATCAGACAAAGAGAAGAATGCTGACATTGCTCACAAGAAAAGGAAGAAGCCTGAATCCTCTGAGTCTGATGACAGTGCTTAATGGTTGGTGGAGTTGCTGTTTGGTGGTGTTGCTGGTTGGTGCTGGTACCTGGTGGAGTTTGGAAGTGTGTTCAGTATTTTTTTTCTGCTGCTGCTCTTATTACTTTTTCTGGATAACTGTATAATTTTTATGAACATGTATCTTTGGCCCATTTGTGGCTAAAGAGGGGGAGAATATTTTGGTACTTATTTTTCTGCAGTCATTTCTTTCTCCTGCTATCTATCTCTGATTACTTAGGGTCTTTAGCCAAAAATCTGCCAAAGGGGGAGTTTGTAGTTGTTTAGTTATTGGCTTGCATTTTTGGTAAAACCCAAGTGTATGTGTGAATGTCATGACTGATGTCATAACATTCTAGTTTAGTTTGTACTGATTCATTAGGTACCTTTGCAGAAAAATATTGTCATTCAGGTACTGATGTTTATAAGTGTGTATCTGAGCATTTTGCAAAATGATCACATTTTCCTAAATCAGTAGACAGGTTTTTTTCAGATGTCATAACAGATGTTAAGACATCCTATTCTGAACTAACAAGTTTGCAGTTTGGGTAATTCTGAGTTTTTTCAGGAAAATGACTCAGTCTTTCCAGAACAGCATCCTGCGTTTTCTTTGGGTTAACCTAGCTCAACCCTAACCTGGTTGATAAAGTCCTGTGACCTAGTCTTAAGGTCAAATAGAATTAACCCTAGCTTTTTGTGGAAACCCTAACTGAAGATGCAGCTGCTATATATTCAACAGAGCTGCTGTTTTGCAAGGAATCCCTTTTTGGTCAGAAGATCATTTGTAAACTGTATAGGTTTAATTATTGTACTTCAAGCAATTATCATTGTGATAAGTGACTTGGAATAGGTTTTTAATTGTAAGAGTTGTGTAGCACTCAAAGCTTTGAAGCAAGAGTGTTTGAATGTTTCTTGACTAAAGCTGTGAAGCAGAGTCAAGTTAGTTGTGTGTATCACTCAAAGCTATGAAGCAAGAGTGGTTGTGTTGCTTGATTAAAAAGCTGTGAAGCTTAATCAAGTGTATGTTTTTTGAAGAGTGTCTTCATCAATTCATTAGTCAAATTGTTTTATGTATCACTGCTGTGATTGAGGGGGAGTGAGTAGGAACTCAGGTTTAAGTTGTACTTAGATTGAAATTGCATTGGGTAGGTCTTAAGTGAAGGAGATAAACTGGTTGGTTTATTCCTGAATTAACATCTCTTATAGTGGATTTCCTCCCTGGCTTGGTATCCCCCAGAGTAGGTGTTGTTGCACACTGAACTGGGTAAACAATTGACTGTGTTCTTTACTGTTTTTGTATTTACTGTCTTATAGAAAGTCAGATACGGTGTCATAACATTAAACGTGACATTGAGTATCTGCAGCCAGAATTTCAAGAAGAACAAGAAGAACACCAGGGGGATGCTTTTTTTGACGGCGAGCGGAGAGGAGAAGCTCTGAAAAAAAGACGTTATCGAGCCAAGCTTGAAGAAGCGATTGGAGTTTTGAAGCCCGGAACCCTAACCGCGTGACCGTGTGTTTCATAACTGCCGTTGACTTGCACCATCATCCTCCAATCTTCAATCATCGTTGAGAATCTGCAAAAACAAGGGAGGAGGAAAAGATTAGCGACTAGAAGCACGAAAGCCATAAGATTGCGAGAGTTGGTAAAAAATCACTTAGCTTTTATTTCTTTCATGACTGTTGGTTTTGGGGTAGGGTAAACGAGTAGGATTGGGTTGTGCCACCATAGTTACGACTTTAGGGTTAACAGAAGGGGCGACGAAGAGGTTTGTATAGTTGGCGAGAGAAAGAGAAGGAAGATGAATGGAAGGAACAAACGAGATAGATTTGTAAAATGGAAAAACAATAATCTTATAATCTGTTATCATCGTATGCTTGTGCGCCCACCACAACTATAGTGCATCCCTCAATTAAGACCGTGTAACCTTGACCGGAAAGCCATAAGGCCAGGTCCGTATTAAGCTTCATGCACCCCCACCACACTGGATTACACAGCCAACTCCTCCCAAACCGTTTGGGCCTGAGCCCAATGCTATACACGCCCCCCTTTGATACAACTACTGAACTAAGGCTAGCAGCGCAACCCCCCCCCCCCCCCTGTCCAGACTTGTTTTTGGGCTATACCAGTTAACTCTTCACACCCCCTTGCTTTTACTTATGAACTAAAACTGCACCCCCATTTAGATAGTCATATTACTTTTCTATTTTCCTTATGTTTTTTCCTATATTCTCTTTTATATTATTTATTTATTGTTATGATAATTATTGATATAGTATTTTTATATTATTTATTTAATACTTTGTTTTATTTTATATTATTATTATTTATCATCATATATAAATTATTTTATTTAAGACTCATGAATATATTTTTGATATTGCATTAAGTTTTTAATCATGCATTAATCAAGACATTTTGCAATTAATACAGTAAAAAACACAAACAAATATCAAACTATTTTCGCGAACAAACTAAGCTAATTAACAGTTTTTTTGCAAATGGGTTTCGAACTAATTTTGGCTTACTGCGTACTCAGTCAAAATTTCCACAATCACTACTCCCGACCGAGTGCGAAGTGATTCAAGATATGTTCGTAAACCCCTAAAAGACACCAACCCATACGAACTACGAATTGGGACTCTGATTCCTCATAAGAGGATACGTAGGCATGCAATCTAAAATCATGGTGGGTCTTGCTAATTAAAACTTAAAACCCTGTTCATCCCAAACCTAAACCTAAAGCTTAATATCCTTGTAAACAAGGTGGATGAAAGATGCCTAACACCTTCCTTTCGTCTAATTGAGTCCGTAACCTAGAATCTCTGTCCGCGAGTTAGGGTTTACTGTTAGGTTCTCTTCCTTAGGATAAAAACTAATAGTGGCGACTCCTGATTTAAAAATCGGTCGCAATAATAACCTACAACAACATAACAAATAAATAGTCCAAAAACTGCTACAATTCTGCTCCACCAACCTGTTGTACCTTGTTGTCTACAACTGCATAAACAGTCCAAAAACACATCAAAATTGCACACAAAAGGTCATATACAAAAACCTGCACTAGAAAGGCATAAAACAGTTAGCCATATATGTTGAAACCTATCCAATTTTCCCCCAAAAAAACCACACTAGTTCCATTATAAATGGATGATGCTTTCATACAAATCCGGAGGGAACCAAGTAGTGCACAAAAATCCTTGATCCTCTCGACCAAAAGCCACGAACATTACAAAAATCTACCAATCACCAGACACCATTTTAATGTCACAATGCCACAACCATTAACATCACACAATAATCCATCCCAGTCCATTGCACAGACAAAACCCTTGTAACTTATAAAACTTGTTCAACTCAAAACCAAGATTACCAAGTATTATGAACCTGTCAAAATAACCCAACTAAATTAGTTCTACACAAGTTCAAAACAAGAAAAATCTCAACAAAAGGAGAAGATAGAACATCATCATATTTAAACTGACGCCATCGAAGGATGCTTCTGTTCATGCACGTCACTCTCCATCGCGGAAGAACTACCTACCACACACTGCCGACGGAAATCACCAGAATCATCTCTAAACAGCAACAACAATGTCATCATCCTGTGCAACCTGTGTTTCCCCAAGGCCCACGTCTACAATCTGTAACAAATGCAACAACACCAGAAGATGCAATCGCAATATACAACAAGTGAGCAGAATCGATTTTCAGAAAGTAAAGAGAGTGTCGAAATTGTACCTGAGAATTTGAAGGCCCGTCGGAGGAGCTTCGGCTTGGTAAATTTGCTTTCCCTTTATTTGAATTTTGCTTTGTGTTGCTTTTTATTCGTTAGAGTTGTTGTTTTTGAATTCCACAACTGTGATAAGATATTCATTATTGTTGTTGTGTTGTTGTTGTTTCTATAAGCAAGAATTTATGGTTGGAAACATGAACGAAAACCTTCACTTCCAAAACCAAACAAAATGTTATCCAAGAAGAAGATTCTGGCTTAGAAAGCGTTGAAAAACTCATCTAATTACTCTCTGAAGCACGCCATAAGTATAAAAACTCTTCATCTTCCTCTTCCTTTTCACCTCCAAACCCCAACGTAGCAGCAACAAAAACAACGCTTCTATGGAGATCGAAAGAGACTGCAAAGTTATTGTGATATTGCTGTTTCCAAATTCAAACGCGTTATTTCACTTCTTGAAAAAACCAGAACCGGTCATGCTCGTTTCAGAAGATCACCTCTACCACAAACTCAACCTGAGCCAACAATCTTCAACGCCGCTTTCCTCCCCAAGAAACTGCCCATTCGGGAAATTACGCAGAAACCTATAACGAAATCTGATGTTTCATTTCATACTAGATGCACGGTGGATGCGCCCTATGGAGGTAATGTCCCAAAATTCCCCTAAGTCAATGTTTGAGATCCTTTCCGAGGCCTTGGAGTAAGTCATGATGCTTCTGAAGAAGAGATTTGGGGGTCAAGAAATTTTTATGTTGCAACAATATGTTGGACATGAAAGCTTTTAGGGTTTACAACCCGGATGATCTAAATATAGAGCTAGGTCCGGACCCCTCTAACCCGGTCCGGCCCAGCTATATTTTTTTAAAGTTTTTTTGTTTAATAATCCTCTTATTATCATAACTTGGGCCTGCTAGTTTATTTCCTTAAGCCCACTCAATCTAAAATCTGTTTTCACACACCTCCTTGTTTAATATCTTCCAGCCCATGTTCTTATTTACATTTAATTTCCTTTTGTTTCTTTTAGTTTATTTTTTGACACTTGTTAATTGTTAATATAAATTAATTATACAATCGATTGTTATTCAGTTTGACTAATTATTTCTAAATTTTATTAAGTAATTTCAATTAATTTAATTCATTTTTGTTTTGTTAAATTGTTCAATCATTTAATTGTTAGTTGTTTAATCTTTTTTTCATTTATTTAATATTTGTATCTTGCTTGTGCTAAATCCAAGGGAAATGTTTTAAATTTGTTGACCTCATGTCATCAAATACATCTTACGATTGTGTGAAACCCTTCATACTTTTTTTAGTTTAGTTAATCTTAAGTTAAAATCTTCTAAACCCTAATTTTAAAACTCACGCCCCATTTTAAGTCAAAACTTCGACACTAGGTTGTCGTATCTTCAAAATCTCATTCACACCCATTTTTTACCAAACAAACAATTTTTAACCAAAAAATAGGTATTTCAAAAGGTTCCTGTGGAGTACCGCAGATACATAGGATGCTAGTACCTTCCCTTTCTATAACCAACCCCCGAACCTTCAATCTCTTTCAAATGCATTGTATTTTTCTTTACTTTTAGTATTGCACTTACTTTGCATATTTATGGATTTTATTTCGCACTTTTCCCTTTTCCCTTGGAAATAATAAAGCGCGGTGGCGACTCTTGCTTATTTGCGAGTCAAGTTAATTAATAGATTGATCTTTGATTTTCACCGCTACACTTGATATAATATGTTGTGCTTTCACCTATAATATCATCACTTAGGGCAAACATTCATTGTATTTATTAGTTAAAAGTTAATCAATACAAAATATAAATGATCACAAAATACAAGTCAAGGTGCCTGGTGACTCCTCATGAGCAAAGCTAAAGATAAGGAGAAGAACCAAACCCTAGTGTGATCTTGTTGTGATTGAGTTGATATGAGAGGATAGAGGTGTCTTAGGGGCAAAAATTGGGGTACAACACATCAAAACATTTAAAACTATCAAACTTTGTCATCAAGAATCAAGAAAGTCAACAAAAGTCAAAAGTCAAGATTTTCAAACACTTAGAAAAAATTCAAGTGTTTTTGTACCTAAAAAACCCTAACTTCACAAGCAAGTTTCCTCAAGAATCAAGTTGATTAAAGGAAAACTTTCAACATGAAAGTTGTAGCCATTGATGAATTCTACAACTTTGTTAATGTGAGATGATCCTCAAAAAGTGCTTAATTTAAGAGATATAAGCCCATGAAGTTATGATGTTTTTTATCCAATACTTAGAAAAACTTTCAACAAATTTTGATCAGTTTTTTATCCCAACTTCTTGGCCAAGTTCCACCAAGTTCCCATTTGATTTAGCCAAAGTGGTCAACATAAAAATTGTAGACAATGTTTCAAGCTTTCCAAAATGTCCAGGAACACAAATTTATCATGCTTGAGCAAGGAGAATCGAAGATATGAAGTTAGGCATTTCATGCTTGAATTTCAAGTCATTTTGTGAAGAACTCAAGAGCAAATCTCATAACCTTGCCATGCAATCTCACTTTTCAGGCTATGTTGCTTCTAAATCTCCACATAATCAGAGATTTACACGAAATTATGGTGCATTACACAAGGATTTGAAGCTTTATCCACTTGATCATACCACTTTTGGATGAAATTTCAAAAAGCTCCATATCCATTTACATAAAGATCACTTTAATCACAAAGTCCACTCCTTGAGCCTCTAACTTGTTTATTCTGATCACACTTAACATGAATGCTCAGAAGCAACGTCTCTAAGCCTACCAACCACCCTACAATGAATTGGAACAATGTTTCTTCAAAGTTACTTCAAAACTAAGCTTCCAAACCACAACTTGTGATCTTACAAATTTGGTTGTTTCAACCTCCAAAACCTCTTGCCTATAAATAAAGAGATCATTTGCAAGCTAAGACACGATTTCACAATCCCTAAAACCCTCTCAAACTCTCTCAAATTAGAATTGTCCAAACCCTCCATTTTTAAGCTTTTGAAACCTTAACTTTGAAACTCATCACTCTTGCAAAGTTTGTCCAAACAAATCATCCAAACACTTCATATATATCATATATAAGTGATCTAAGTACTTGTTTCATCACTGTAACATCATCTTCATCTTCCACCATTTTGACTTTTCATACTTGCAAGTTGACTTGGTCAGAGGTATCCAAAGGTTCTCAACACCAAGTGAGCATCCAAACAGCTTCCTCAAGGTCCAAGCAAGCTCACCAAATCATCATTTCACCTCTGGAAGTCGTGTAGAGGGCATTGAAATTTTGCATCAAGAGGTAAGTTTTCTAAACTTTGAAATCTCTGTACAGGCATCATTTGCATTTACTTTCTAAAGATAAAATGTAGATATATTGTCTATGAAGCTAACCATGTCCTTAAATCTCATTTTAATTGACTGTGGTGAGAATTTTGGAACTAAGTCTTCTGAAATATTAGGTTTTCAGTTTGGTACCAAACAAAATTCACGCTCATCTTTGACCTATAGCTTTTATAATTTACATTGTTGAATTCCTTGTGAAATTTAGAATAAGTTTGGTGTTTACAGTTTTTGAAATGGTTGAGAAATGAAGGTTTTACAAATTCAAAAATGTTGGTAGTGATGTTGTCTGTGCGAAGAAGATGAAGTTCATCTTCAAATTTTCAAAAAATGAGTTTACTTTATATTTAGTGCAACATGTTTTATCACCAGATGTAACAGTCACCCCAGTGGAAAGTGTGTGTGTGTGTGTGTGTGTGTGTGTGTGTGTGAGAGGCGTTAGTGTGCTAAGGCAGGTGTTCGATCCCTGCCTCTGGCATTTTATTTTCTAATATTTTATCTATAGATTCAGTGCAAGCCAGGCATATACGCGCATCATGCATCCTCATGTTACAACCATTAGATCTCATACAGGCAGATCCAATGCACCAAGTGCAAGCCCCAACAGTATCCTTTTAATTTTCACATATTTGTTTCTTTCAGATCATGTGTAGGCCATTCCAATGCGCATACCATACGCCTCTCACCATCGCCATCTGGTTTTCCCATGGTTAGATCCAACGCGCCAAGATTGCTAATCCATGCTACACCATCACAATACAGCCACAGGAGATCCAGCGCAATACTGGGTTTTTGTTTTTGGATCTAATGACTTTGCTTTTTCCATACCCCCCTTTTTTGCTTATTAACACAGACCCATTACTTTTATTTTATTTTTATTTTATGTTTCAAACACCAAAAATTGATTAGTTGGACCTAACACTTTTTTTCTTTTGAGCCCCCAATTTCTTTTACACCACTGGCCCATTTAATTTTCTCTTTTTATTATTTTATTTGTTATTTTTCAGTTAATTTCATTTAAATCATAAAAACATAAAAAACTTAGAATCAGGTTTTATTACTTATGTTACACTTTTTTCTAAATAAAACATCAAAAACATTTTCTAAAAAAAACAATTAGTTTCTTTTTTTAAAAAAATTAAAAGATAATTAGACTTAATTTTATTTAATTTCTTTTTTAAATTAAATCAACATAGATTTTTAGTTTGTTTAATTAAGTAATTAACTTCTTTTCAATTAACTTAGATTTTTTAGGTTTTGTTTAAAATGATTAGTTAACTTCTCTTTTAATTAAAACTAATTAGTTTTCTTAGGTTAATGATCAAACTTTGTTTTCCATCAAAAATCACAAAAAAAATATTTTCTTTTCTCTTTCATTTATTGTACATTTTTGCGTATTTTTATTACTTCACATTATTGTAACTATTCAATGATCTGTAATAGATAATTAGGGTTTATTGCTTTTCTCCCCATTCACAAATTTGTATCCCCCATTCCCAAAGTATTGTAATAGCGTAGGATATTTAATTTCCGTAATTTATCACTTTCTATATTTTTGTTAGTAATTAGGGTTTGTATGACAAGATTAAAATCAATCATAGCAAAACCCTAATTCAAGGTAAAATAGTTGAATCAAACACACTTTGCACACTTACACCTCTAGGGTTACCCTCACTTGTTACCTCAGATTTAAACAATCATGTCCCTCGAACGTGAGATGCTTTAGCAAATACCCTCAATTAAAAAGATCGTAGTCCCTCGATGACCCTTTGATGTTACCTTTGGTAAACGATCTTAGTCCTTTACGATAATTGCTAAAGCATATTACAAGTTTCCTTTTATGACTGTAAGATGACCTACGCATGTCCATCACATTCAATGATAGGGATCCCTACTAACTAATGATAGAGTAGCACTATATAAAGGAGGAGGAAAATAACAAAGACTTTTTGAGTAGGTAAAACGCTCTTAGTCACTTGCTCACAAACTTTTTAAAAATAAAACATCTTTCCAGAAAATAACACTCTATTTCATTAAATATTTTCAAAACTAACATTTTGTATACATTCTCAATGATACGAGAATCATTACAAAATTGTCGTACTTATGCATTTTCAAAACATTTGCAAACATACACAAACACAAAGAATTTTCAAAGTGAGTTAGCAATTAAGACCCGTAGATAACTATAGATGAAAAGGGTTCTAACACCTTCCCTTTTC